CTCCCGAGCACAGAGAAGAACTGCCTACGTGATGAAGCGTTACTCGAATATCTGGGAGTCTCGGTAATTACAAGGCCCCAAGACGCCTTCGTCCATCTGTTCATGCTGACGTGCGCGATATGTAATACCGTTATCGCCGAGACGTCGACTAAATCACCGATCGGAGTCCGTTTCCAAGGCGCTAGCCCGGATGAGGAGGCCTTGGTTGAAATGGCTGCGAGCTCGGGCTACATCCTCACGGACCGAAGCTCGGATCTCGTGTCACTTAGAATATTACAGTCCAGTCCCGCAGGAAAGGAGCGACAATGGGAGGATACCACATTCAAAATTCTCGGTGTCAACGAGTTCACCAGCGAACGCAAGCGCATGAGTATTCTCGTCCAAATCATGAAGACCATTGAAACTGATGAAGGGGACGTCGCCTATATCCCTGATGGTCGCGGGTCTATGCTATTGGTGAAGGGTGCAGACGACGTGATGGCTGAACTGTGCCAGAGAGATGTTGGAGAGGCCTCAACTATCGATTTATGTGGGGTCCCTGTCCGGGATGTTCGAGAGGAAACGGTTTTTGATATCAATGAATTCGCATCGGCTGGCCTTCGAACACTCATGCTAGCGATGCGATACCTTGATGAAGTCGAGACCTCAGAGTATCTTGGAGCCCTGAATGAAGCTAGGCACTCCATAACGAATCGAGCTGATCGTTTCGCTCGAGTAGCCGAGAAGTTCGAGACGGGCCTTATCGTTCTCGGGGCCACTGCTGTAGAAGACAAGATACAATATGGCGTCGAATCAACGGTCTTCCGATTGCTGAATGCAGGTGTCAAGGTTTGGATGCTCACGGGGGATCGGTTCGAGACGTCTCTGAACATAGCTCGAGCAGTTGAGCTTTTGCCTCGTGATGGGATTGTGTCGGATCTCTGCCTTCATGCAGAGACTAAGTTTAATAAAGGAGAGGCGGATGCCTTCGTACTTGAAAAACGGAAGACCTTCGATGAAGACTACCTACAATGGATGGCCAATGGAAAAATGAACTCTCTGTGCGTCGTCTTGGACGGTTCGGCAATATCATGTTTCGCTTCATCGAGGGATAACTTGAAGATCCTAGCCAATGTGCTCATGAGTACCGTGTCGGTTGTGGCATGTCGCTGTTCACCATCACAGAAGGCACTGATCGT